GTGAGTAGAATTAAGCTTAGCATTTTTTAATTGTTTAATTACCAATTAAAGTGTACACTGTGCAATATTGGTAAAAGTGTCATAACAAAATATTTTATGATGTGCAATATCTCCCTTTGTTTCCTCTGAAAAGGCAGATAAGCCTTTATCCAAATTAGATAAAGACCCAAACAGGGCAAAAACTTAACTAAAAAAATCAAAGTTACTGGCTGGTTAAATAAAAATACATTTCTGGAGAAAAAAAACCCTTCTCAAACGAAGCTCAAGTCCATTTATCATTTACCAACAACTAATAACTTCCTCATGACTTCAAAATTGTTCCTTCCTCTTTCTTAATAGCAATGACTCCGCTCAGCAATGTTAGTTATTAAAGTAGAGTACCATAAACTTGTTTAGGCTGATTAAAGACCAGCTGTGCTGCAGCAATTTGGACCATTTTCAGAGGTGTGTATGTGTACAGTGTGCTTGCAGCCCTGGTTTAATGGTAAGTCAAGGTGGCAGCATATTAAGTTGGACAAAACCTAATCGGTCTGTAAAAATGTTTTGGTCATGAATCATAGTAACCTAGTTTCCAGCAGATGTCGTTGGGGTAAAGCTGAAGTGGATGGAAGCTTACATTTTTTTCCACTGGTGTAGCATATGAATGGATACCCTCACCCTTATATCCAAGTCTTGGGTTTAAACTTAAAGCACACTATTTTAGCCGTATGTGGTTTAGAGATAATAAAACATTTATGTATGATAAACTAATCAAATGTTCTCTTTCCTAGTGCCTCTCTATAATGTGCCTCTGGTGTCCTCAGTAACTGCTGGGATCCTCCTGCTGCTGTTTGTAGTGCTTTTGGTGATCTGTCTGCTCTGCAAAAGAGGACGAAAAGCCAAGCAGCCAGGAACCCTGGTCCAAACTCAATGTGTTCATCAAGCCACATATTTTCTACATTTTAAATACACACTTTCTCAAGAGTTCAGCCATAAGTACTGACATGTGTTTCAAATTCTTCTGTTTCAGTGGCTGCCAGAGTGGGGAGTTGTCATGAAGATGATAGAGAGGACTATGTGAATGTTTGTTCAGTTGACACCGAGAAGAATCTGAAAGAGGAAACGGTGAGAGTGGAAGAAGAGAATATATATGAGGAGCCAGAGAGATACAAGGGCCATGATTGTGATGAAGTGGCCCCAGATTCAATCTTGAGAAAGACCAACGATGTCTTTTTCAGACAAGAAAGAGAAGAACGACAAGAAGAAACCAGTGAAGTTGAAGATTACTATGACAGTGTAATCCAGCCATTTAATGAACCAACTTTAGACATCTATGAAAAACAGGAGGATATTTATCTAGACCTTTAGGTGTCAGAATGATTTAAAATGGCAAAAGTACTGGACCTTTGACCCATGGCAAACAGTTTTATCAAGTAAAAAAACAATTGTGAACCAATCAAGTGGACAGTGAAGATACGTGTTACATTATGCCTAAGATATATTACCTTGTTCTCCTCCTTATTCCTTCTATCCACATAATTTTGCTTTAAATCTAGAAAATCATAACACCATTTCAATTTGTAAAAAAATGAATACTATTGTTTATCGGACTGTGTTTTAATAAAAGTGAACTGTTTTTATTGTATACAAAATTTCTCCAAACTTCCTATCTTCCATATTCTCACGTCTTGTATTTGCAGAGAACGACAAGTGGTTAAAGGCTTTATATGTGATTTTTTTGATCTAGCAGATGTCGCCCTTGAGCACCAGCATGAAACCAAAACTACTCGCGCTGCATTGTTGTGTTAGCATGCTAATGCTAGCGATCTTTACTATGCTCGTATCGTCACACTGCATGTAAATTTACCTGAAATGAGCGTGATCTAGAAACACAGCTAAGCAGTGAGTACAGTATGGTATGCTTCTTTTCTCTAGTCCCTCAATTAAATGTAATGTAATGTAAACAAACTGAAGATAGGACTCTGAAAACTCTGAAAACATCACAGACAGTGGGACTCGGGTGTTACACCCATTGTAGACAGTCATTACTCACAGTTATTTTCACAGGATATACTTGATTTATATTACATTTAAGTGTGAAAAATCGCATAAAAAGCCTTTAAGATAACAAAAATATTCAGTTGAGTGTGAACAATGCAAAGAAATCAAATTCATATTCATTTTTAAACAGCTAAATAACTGTAGATAGACACTGTGAATATGAACTGAAGTTGACTAAAGATACGTTCAAGATACTTCTAGGCAATGTGGTTAGAGCACCTCCCTAAAGAGCTTTGAGTATTTGAGGAAGTATAATTCATATAGAGGAAGTATAAAGAAGAAGTATCAAGACACAACTTTGGTTTTGGACTTGTGTTTTAAGACATTTTATGTTTGAGGTGTTTATGAACACAAGACGCTAATTTAAGCTATGATTCAACTGCCATTAAATAAACAGCCTGAGAAAATGCCAATTGTTATTAAGGAAGCATTTTCTCTAAGACGGTTTTATCAACATCAACATCTCATACTGCTCCTTGTTATGAATATGTCAGATCTAGAATAAATTTGCCTGGATTCCTAAGATCTAGATTCCTTTCTTAAGTGTTTAAAGATTCAGAATCCATTTAGATCACTTTTTTAAATGTATCTTTTGAGATGTATTGACACTTGTCCTTGAACTTGTGTTCCATTCACTTTAAAGCTGCTGGAAAATCTGGAATTTTGGTTGAAGGACTACAAAAATGAATCCTGTCTACTATGACAGCTCTTTAAAGAACAGTAACACAGGTTTTGCTGAAAATTGACAACCATCAACAAAATGCAAAAAAAAAAGAAACAGTTAGAAAAAAGAATCAGCCAATATTTTTCTAGTTTTACTCAAACAGACCATATCACTAACCCTTTGATATAATATTGTTCAGGATTCATTACTTGAATGTGATCAATTTAAACAATATAAACAATGACTGAGTGAGGTTTTTTCTCACTAATCGATTCAGAGCCAATCGGAAACATCAACACACGGAGAATTGGAAAAGAAAGAGGTTAAGACATTGGTCCTTTCCCGAATAGCCACAGTTCAGTATGCAGTACTTCTCAGTAGGGAGTTTCAGTAGACTGAACTCTCGTGGTCATTCAGTATGCATATTTTGGGTCCACCTCAGTATACTGAACATTTCAGCATGGATACTAACTTCCGGGTTTCATGCAGTATGGATCGGATGCATCCTTTCAGGAAATGAATTGTATTTCACCACCCACAATGCTGTGCGAAAATAAACGTAAATTGTTCACTTCACGTGTGCCTCATAATCAAAACAAACTAGCGTGGATTAATTTAATAAATTTTTGCTACTTTTAATTGACAACAAAAAATATAACAAATGTCTGAATTATTATAAACCCTTTTCCCCTGAGACCTCTATTTAAATAATGATTTCCATATTTATGTATGCGTCTTTATTGGTTTATTTTACTTTACTGAATGAATCAGACGACGAAGGAACAAATATCTGCCTACTGTGCAGATACTAAAAGTATACAGCACATATAGTAGGTACTGTCTACTGAATTCATACATTTGTTACATTTTTTGTTGTTTATTAAAAGTAATGATTTCAGTCGGGACTTTAACTCTAGATTAAAAATTGATTCAATTAATCCACGCTCGTTTGTTTTGATTTGGAGGCGCACGTAAAGTGACATTTTATGTTTATTTTCACACAGCATTGTGGGTGGTAAAATACAATTCATTTCCTGAAACGATGTATCCAATCCATATGCATAAAACCCGGAAGTTAGTATCCATGCTGAAATGTTCAGTCTACTGGGGTGGACCCAAAAAATGACCACTGAATGACCACAAGGGTTCAGTCTACTGAAACTCCCTACTGAAAAGTCTGCACATCCTACTGATCTGTGGCTATTCGGAAAGGACCCAGGTCTCTTAAGTTGCATCCATGCCTCCTGCCCACTCTCAAGGCTTGTGTCTTTAGTCCGTCCTACCAAAGATGAACGGAGATACCTATGCAAGGTGAAAACTAACAAGACAATATGTCACTATAGACACATGGGATGTCCTTTTATCACTTAAAGTGTGTTTGTCATGGCAGCATCAGCTAATGCTTTCGTACTTAATACATATTTCAAACAGTTTTCAAACTATAAAATACAAACTCTTAAGAGGAACAAGGAGATAAGAGACTTGAAATGCAGAGACTATGGCTCCGGGGGTTAAAGCCAGAGAAGGAAGAAAGGCTGCACATAAGGGACCAAGTGACAAAAATAACCAAGTAAAAACAGGAATTGGTAACTGAATACCCTAACATGAATTTAATACATTACTTAACAAGGATAGCCCCACTACATGACGGATGGCTCATTTTACTTGTAGGGACCAGAGCTGAGAAAGACCAATTGGTTTATCTACAACCCTCACAACAGCATGCTTATAAAATTCACAGGATTAAGCCCTAGAACTGAAAATATTTTTTTTGTGACAACTTTGCTGTCTCTGTGCAGCAGCGGTTCCAATTTAAGCAGCTGAGTTCTGCTGAGTGCTGCTGAACTTTTTTGTTTAAAAAAAACATCAGCACTGTAAAGAGGAAGTATTTCAGAAAAAAGACAAGCAGGGTTAAGTGCGTCTGCAGGCTTTTTTAAAGTCATTTTTCAGTCTGTCCTTTCACTGATAATGATACAAGCACCCTATGCATCAGCCATGAGGAGCATACAACAGAGAAACCTTTACTTGACCCTGGGTAAGAAGAATGTTCCAAGATTCAACATTTGAAAGCAGGTTAACAGAATAGTTATGACACTATACTTTATTATACTCAATTAATTCAAATATACAGAGAGAGTTAGATGAAAAAAGGACGTTTATATTTCTGCACTTATTGTAACTTTCTTCTCTTCTATAGTCTCTGTACTCTGGACCTCTTCTTTGCCTGCTGCAGGTCAGTCCAATTTTCTAAAATTGTTTCATTTCCACAACGATACCATAGCCTGTATTAAGTCTTATGTGCCTGAAGGGTGGTCAGATCAGATTAATTGGGCTAGTTTAGCTGGAATTAGAACAATGTTTTGGTGGTGTCCCGACGGCTGGGCTGTTGTGCGGCAGTGAGTGCCAATTACTTGAGGGAAGGAAATAACCTTCATGAGGTGGCTTGTCTAGCAATTGAAAGGTCAATAACTGAGTGTCCGCTCAGAAAACTAAGGACACATTACTGAAGACATGTTTGGGTGTGGATGAGGGCTGCTCAAATGAGAAGAGACCTAAATAAACAGTTAAATGAATGTGTTATTTCCTGCTTTTTCATAGTCATTGTAAAGCTTATGAGCTGTTCACACAAAATATGTAAACCACACCCTACTGCATGCTTTTTGAATTTAAGAGCAGAATAACAAATGAATTTTAACACAAGCTTCTAAAGGGGCGGCTGTGGCTCAGTTGGAGTCGTTGGCCGAGCACGAGAACGCTGATTCAGACTTACAAGGCAAAATTGTACTTTCTCTTGTTTGAATCTGTGTATGTGTAGCCTTTCCAGTTCAGTTGGTAGAGTAGTCGTCTTTCAACCAGAAGGTTGAGGGTTCAATCCCCAGCTGGGCAACATGTCCGATGTGTCTGTGGGCAAGACACTAAACCCTGCATTGCTCCTGCTGCTTCGGTGGCGGTATATGAATGGATTAGTTACTTCTGATGGATGATACTACATAGCAACCACTACCATCAGTGTGTGAATGGGTGGGTGTGACATGCAGAGTAAAAATGCTTTGAGTAGTCTTAAGACTAGAAAAGTGCTATATAAGCTCAAGTCCATTTACCATTTAAATAACATCTGTCAAAGGTGTCTTTCAGAAGCAGTTTTTAAAATGACAAAAAAAATGTTTTTTGTGTGCTTGTTCTTCTATGTGTTTTTTTTAGGTGCTCAGATCAGATTAGCTGGATCTACTCATTGCTCTGGAAGAGTTGAACTCTTCTATGGCAGTACCTGGGGAACAGTATGTGATGATGACTGGGACTTAAGAGATGCTGAGGTGGTGTGCAGACAGCTGAGCTGTGGGAAGGCACTGAGTGCTCCTGGAAGTGCCAGTTTTGGTGAAGGAGCTGACCCAATCTTGCTGGATGATGTGGCCTGTTCAGGAAGTGAACGTTCTTTAACTGCGTGTCAATCCAGCGAAATGGGAAAACACAACTGTAAACACAGTGAGGATGCTGGCGTGGTCTGCTCAGGTAAGAACCTTTTTGTAACAAATGTTTTGAAAAATCAAGTGTGCTTTTTGAAATCAACCTGTTTTTGTCATTGTGGGTCTATGCAGCCTGTAGGAACTTTTTCACATGTAAAAGCTGGTAACCACACCCTGCCGCATGCTCTTTAAATTTAAGAGCAGAATGATAATCGTGATTTGTTGATACAGTATTTCTAAATGAATCAAAATGTTTTTCTGCATTTATCTTCAAATCAGTTTTTCAAATGACCCAGTAAGAAAAGAAAGGCATGTTTCATCCAGAAATGTTTTTTCTACTGTGATCAATTCTCAGGTACTCAGATCAGATTAGCTGGATCTACTCAGTGCTCTGGAAGAGTTGAACTCTTCAATGGCAGTACCTGGGGAACAGTATGTGATGATGACTGGGACTTAAGAGATGCTGAGGTGGTGTGCAGACAGCTGAACTGTGGGACGGCACTGAGTGCTCCTGGAAGTGCCCTTTTTGGTGAAGGAGCTGACCCAATCTTGCTGGATGATGTGGCCTGTTCAGGAAGTGAACGTTTTCTAACTGAGTGTCAGTCCAAAGAAATGGGGAAACACAACTGTAAACACAATGAGGATGCTGGTGTGATCTGTTCTGGTGAGCATAGTTTTTAATATTTTAAATATTGATGAAGTTGTGAAAATATCAAAGGCAACCTAAAGGGCTGGAGGAGAGAATGCTGAGTCTCATCAACTCAACAAAGATAAAGTCAGTGTAATCATTCATGGTAATGCAGTGTTATCATCAAAGAGAAGCTGCTTTTTACTCATAGGTTTACTTTATCATTCATTATTATTCGTAATATTGCTTACATTTATTTCAAGGACGACTGTGGCTCAGTGGCTGAGTTGGTCATCTCTCTACCGGGAGTTCTGCGCCTGTATTCACAGACATTCTGAGAATCCTCTCAGAGAGCTCCTAACTTACACTAAAAACTCCGAGCAAGGAATTTTAGCCTAGGAATGATTAGGAACATTCTCAGAGCAACTCTGAGCAAGGAAGAGACGGAAACTTTTGTCTTAATGAGGAGGCGTGGTTGACTCCGTTGCTAGATATGACACATTTCTTTCAGAAGCTGTCATTGGTTGAGCTAATAAATGGAGAAAAAACTGTGCTGTCTTAGTGATAATGGCCATAGACAGTGAAATCGATTGGGCCCATTGTGTAATTATGATCACTAAGAAATGAACATCTCCGTGGGATAAATATACTTTAAAAATATATAGCCTACAAAATGTTTGAAATCACATGCCCACTTGTGCAGCAGCCTCTTTACATGCTGATTGTTATATCAACATGTGAAGGTCCTTAATTAGTGATTGGATGCACCTGTGGAGGTAACCACATGTAGACAAACTCAACATACATGTCTCACTTTGCACTGAAAGAAGTCACAGATGGATTTATTAAATGTCTGCACATATCATTTTTGTCTCTTCGGCCAAACAATGATTGAAAACGAATATTCTTCATGGAGTGTTTGCAGAACATGTTTCCATTTTCTCCGCTGCTTGAAAAAACTCTTAAACCTGTTAAAAGTCCTCCTCACTACTCCTTAACAGTTTGTAGCCTTAGGAGCTCTCTTAAGGGCTAAGACACTGCGTGAATAACTTTCCTTTTTTAACAAGGATCTAGTCTTAACTTTGAGGGAAAATTCTTAAGAAATGTCACGATTCTAAAAACGTTCTAAGAATTCTGTCACAAGGAGCAACTCTTAGTACTTAAGAGATTTTGTGAATACAGCCCCTGCAGTGTAAAAGTGCTTTGAGTTGTCAGAAGACTAGAAAGACTTTGCGAGTCTCAAGTCCATTTACCACCATTAATGTAAAAATGACTTCTTATCACATTTCACACACAACTTCAGTGCCTCAATTGGATTAAGTGGGGACATACATTCAATAAATGCCAAGAGTATTTCTAACTAAGACAAATGTTCACTTGAAACTCAACAGAATTTATAGTACATTAACAAAATACAAAATACATAACTCTTAACCACAAATATACAGTATGTGTTATAGCAATAGCAGAGCATCTGTTATTTGGGTTGCTGTGTTCACTGGCACTTCGTGTATTTGTGAGGTTCAAACCCTTTCCTGCTCCTCTTCATTTGGTGCCAGAAGTTTGCTGTGACTAGCAGGATATGTGGTAGTGGTATCATCAAAGTTAACAACACTTTTAAGCTCAGAGGAAGGAAAGTTATAATAAAACTCAAATAAAGCAAGTACCATGATTAAACATACTTTTTAAATGTATTTGTTTATTTATAAAGACATAAAATGTTTTGTCCTTTATTCAATACATCCGGTTTGATTATACAAAACAAGTTAACCAGATGATTATTTGATAGTTGGTGTATTCTACATACTTCTGATGATTGTGGCTTGCCAGAATATGCTGAATACGATCTGAAAAACATAGGCATATTCTTGTCAGATTGAAGATAAATTAAGAGAAGTGTATCACCAAAGTATTGTTGTTTTTTTTCAGTTAGCATCCCTAAGCCCAGCATCTCCATGATACCTGTTGGTGAGGTTACCTGGGGTCAGGATATCGTCATCATTTGTTCCATCACAGCTGAGCTTCTAGGTGGCACATTCACTCTTCAGAAAATCCCAGGCTCATTCACAGTGACCCAAACACCAAGTTCCAACTCTGCTACGTTCAACATTATTCAAGTTGACTTTGAAAATGATGGATCCTATCAGTGTCAGTACGAGAAAAGCATTTCAAGTCAAAATTTCACCTCCGTCCTAAGTGACCCACTCAGACTCTCCATCACTGGTAAGGACAAAAGTCAGTCTCTTTAACATGTTGATTTGTAAATACTTTTCTAAATATACAATATAAGTTATTTTATTTAGTTTCTTGTTTTCAATGTTGTCTGTGTAGGTTCTCAGTCATCCAGTTCATGTTAAATAGAGGCTTGTTCCAATGCAGACTGGACTTACTTTTAGACTTACTTTTTCAATGATGTTTATTGTTTTTAGATTTATCTTTCTTTAATATGTACTCACAATCTGAGTAAGGTCTTTTACTTGCTCTTTTGTTAAGTGTCTCGAGATAATGTTTGGCGCTATACAAATTTGGATTGATTGATTGATTGATTTGTTGGATCTAGATCTTATCTTTTCTGTAAATAAATCCTGTTGTATTATATTTTCTTCATCTCACCCTTTTGAAACCAGTGAGACTGCAACAGCCGAGTATCTCTCTCACATCTCCTAACAGAGGGCTGGTCTGGAGTCCTGAAGGTGCAGAGGTAACCAGGGGTTACCGCTTTGTCCTCATCTGCTCCATTAACTGCAGCTATCCTGAGGGCCAGTTCTTTCTCATCTCCTCTGACTCAACCATTGTTGCCGCAAAGCGAACAATCAACCACTCGGCCTCCTTTGACTTCCCTGTAGCTGATTATAAACACCAGGGCAACTACAGCTGTGTGTATGAGGTCGAACTGTCTACAAGGAGATTTAATTCTACTGAGACTGGACCAATCAGCGTTATCATTAAATGTAAGTAGGTGGGAGCATTAAGTTTCATATTTTTACATGAACAAAACCACTGATGAGTAAAGTTATATTTTACCTTAATAAAATCTTTACGAGCTGTGTGATCTCTCTTTATCTCCCTTCATTTGTGTAAAAGCACCAGTGCAACAAAATGCAAAGCTAAGCAGACTAATAACAACAAGTAGACAACAATCAAGTGATTGGTCAGTTGCTCAGCACGTGTCTCGGAAATTTCAACATGAGCTGCAGGGCTTGCCACAACGAGCCAATGGACTTATATCAGTGATCTCACACTGACAATGACGCCGCACTGACAAATTTTTATCGAGGGGGGCTAGAATCGAGCGTTAGATGCAGCTAATGCTACAGCTAACAGGAGGACGTAGGAGAAGCCGCGTTTCTGCGGACTTTGAATTTTTACACATAGATGTGCCTAAACATGCACAGGACACTTGGAAAACACACTAAAGGGCATATAAAACCAGAAAAAAGCATAATATGGGCCCTTTAAAATGCCCATATTCATAAAGAACACAACCTTCTAAGTGCAGTATTGGCAGTGTTTGGTCATAAATCAAAATGACCAGATTTCTTGCTGGTTGGTGAGAGTGAGTTGGAATTCCAGTCTTTCAATTATACTGAAATCAAATTAGGTTTGTTCATGTGATGCTTGGTTAAGAAATGATACATCTGGGGGTTATATATCAGAAGTACATTTGACTAGGCAATGGTGAGAGGTTAAACATGTAAACTTGTAGGATAAATGAATCAAATGCTTTTCCCTCTCAGTGTCTCTGTTGCCGATGGTGTCCTCAGTAGCTGCTGGCTTCCTGCTGCTGCTGCTGCTGCTGCTGCTGCTGCTGGTGGTGGTCTGTCTGGTCTGCAGGAGAAGAAAACGAGCAAAGCAGCCAACCCTTGTCCACAACAAATGTACACACCAAGACACACAGTTTTACAATTTTGAATACACACTTTCTCCAAAGATCTTTCATAACTCACACATTGTTCCAATACTTCTGTTTCAGTGGCTGTCAGAGTGGGAAAGTATTGCAAAGATGATGAAGATGATTATGTAAATATAAATTCAATGGAAACCAAGAAGAATCTCAAAGAGGAAACAGTGGATGAGGACAATATTTATGAGGAACCAGAGCGATTTGATGATCATGATTCTGAAGAAGTAGGCCTAAATTCACGTTTGAGAAAGGACAAGGGGGTCTGTTTCAGTGAAGATGAAAACAGAAAAGAGGAAGAAGAAACCAGTGAAGAAGAAGATGACTATGAAAATGTAAAACTACTTACTGAAACAATTGATGGCATTTATGGAAATTATGATATTATTTGCCCTTAATGCATTTCCGCCATGCATGCAAGACTGTGCGCTAGTCATTGTTTAGATCTAATCCTAAATCTTTTTTTTTTTAGCAGGATACATTGCATTTTGAAAGTTATTTTGTACATTTATGACTTTCATTTTGTCATAAAGTATCAAATAATCTTCAAAGCATTATTGTTAGAAATTCAGATGTTTCTTTATTAAGGTGCAAATCTCACAGAGTACAGAGTAGTCTGTGAGAGTAGTTCATAGGACTCAAGAACACATATTTATACACAGAAACAACTCAGCAGTTTTTATCATACATTCTTCATAAGAGAAGAAGTTTCTCTTCCATAATTAGAGGTCGTTTATCATCAAGATCGTGGGAGGCTTTACACATCAAGGTTACATAAGACTGTGTTCATTAAAGAGCCCATATTATGCCCTTTTTTGGGGTTCATATATTTAATCTATGTACTACGTACTTTTGTACGTTCACAATAGCTAAAGTCCGAAAAAAGTGTCTGTTTTCATGTACTGCTCCTCCTTGCTCCCTCTACGCTCTGAGTCCGTCAGCTACGCTCTGTTGAGCCTACACTGTTAGACCCCACGTGGGCCAAGTCTGCTCTGATTGGTCTGTCGATCCACTCTGTCGTTATTGGTCAGTTGCTCAGTACGCGTCTCGGAAAACCCTAACCCAACTGCATATTGGGTAGTGCAAAAAAAAAATTGCCAAAGACATGTAGGTATTATCATTTTATTCCCACAAGCACACAGCATTGATGGAGTTGGCAGAGGATGTGGAAGGTTAGCACAATGCCCCCCAAGCTTTTCATAAAGCTTGGGAACATTACAGCTGTCATATAGGGATAGATGTAATGAGCGACAGTAGCTCATTCTGTAGGAACTTGGGTTGGGAACCGAAGAGTCACCTGTTCAAGTTCCTGTGCCGACCATAATATGGAAGTTGGTGTGGTAGCTGGAGAGGTTCCAGGTCACTTCCCAGGTACTGCTGAGGTGACCTTTTGCTCATAGCTTAGTAATCTGTACTTTTGTATTGGTTTTGAATATCTGAGTATTTTAGTACTATAAACTGGTGTTTCATAGTCAGTAATAAACATTTTGACCTCAAATATTCATGATAGTCTTAAAGCAAATTGCTTCAGAAATGTAATGATAGATAAAGCAGGAGAGTTAGAGTGGTGGCTATAGATGTTATCAGGGCCTGGCTTTGATGGAACAGCACGTATTGATCATTTTGAACAATTATTGCTGTCTTCGCTTTGCAGATTTGAAAACTGCAGACTGTAATTACAGTTTATGTCCATAAGATGTCAGACGCTGCTTACATTCTAGAGATGTGTGAATACTCTCCTGACTGCACTGTACTCCATGTGAAGTCATTGGAACAAAGGATTTCTTAAGGCAGGTATTTTTAGTTTTCATGTAAAAGAGATACATTAATCAGTATTATGCACTTGTATTTAACACTTTTCAAAGGGCACCTGAAATATTTTCAAACGTAAAGTATATTCCTCCTCACAACAAGCTAACAGAATTTTAGTTTGTATCCATAGTGGACTGTATCACTTTATTAGAAAACACCCTTTATATTGAATATATAGTTGTAAAAAATGGTTAACATTTTTTCAGCTTTATTCTATTTAAAGAAGAAAAAAAACTAATTTCACTTATTTGAAATTGAGAGATTAAAAAAACATTTCTTGCACAGATTCACTAATTAATATTTGGTTCACTTAATTGAAGGAGAATCTTCACTCATTTCTGACACATCCCATAAAGTAACCTAAGAACATGATTTGTTTCTGTCCATGATTATTGTTATTTCCTGTTTTATTTTGTACATATCTTTGTGTCGTTCTTACAGATGCTGCTTCTCATGCTTTCCCGCCTTGTTCTTTCCTGACCTGCTGTGTCTCGTTATCCCCTGGTTTTCTGTGTATATAATCCCTGCCACTCTTTTACTCGATTGATCTGTTCGTGGTAAATTGATGCGCTGACATCTGGCAAAAACTGAGGCCTTGTATATCTGCTACGGAGGGCTCTGGAGACGCAGCACAGCGGAGCCAGTGGAAGCACACACATTGAATAAAGTAAAAACCTATCAACTCCGATGGAGACGAACCAAACACGCATTATGATCCAGACCTGCTCCATTGTGTCAACACATAACCTTTCTGTTGATATGATAGATGATGAGGGGATATGGATAATGGCTTCATAAATGTATTTTTGACATCAGATGTAGTTATAAGGTTATAATGGTTATAATTTTTAGGTATAAGGATCTTTAAAAAAAAGGCTCAAAATGACTTCACTTCCAGTGACCTGCAGTCCTTAAATGTCCTCTGACGTTGTTTTCTCCTTTCTAGATCCTTGCTTGTGTTGTTCTTACACTTAGTTGTTCGCAGCTTTGGATAAAAGCATCTGCTAAGTGAATTGTAGAATTCTAGAAGGAAATCTGCATTTCTATTTTATTCTTCCTGACTTGCTAATCACTGGTTCTGATCCGTCTTGCCCACACTCAGCGGTTTTTAGTATCAGAAAAGTTAGGGCACATGTAGTTTGTAAGACTAGGGAATAGCCCACATTATAACAAAAGATGTCCTTTTGAATCGTCTTGATTCATATTGATAAGTAAGCAAGATCACCAATTGCTTCATTCGGAGCCAAGGTTGGAGCTATGTTTCCCATTCTCCACTGACTGCAATAAGACATATCCTCCAAGTCAATGTGGTTCTTTAATCGGAAAAGCCACAGTTTCTTGCAGTATCTTTTCAGGGTGCTGATATTTTATGACAATGTGAAGATGATGATGTGCCAAAAGCATGTGTAGTTTCATATCTGCATAAGTAAAGCACCAACACAACTATTTGTGTCTGTTATCAGTTAGCCTTGTTAAAGTGTCTCATGTGCAGAGACAGTTTGTGTCCTGTTCATCATTTTATATATAAACAAAGCCTTGCAAGTTGAAGTGAAAACTTCTCTTGAAATAACTGTTTTTTAATAGGCCCTTGAAAGAAATGTAAAAATGTTTGGTGAATCCTGTGAATGAAAGGACATATCATGCATAATGCTTTTCTGTAAAAAGGAAATTAATATGAAACAGATAAAGACATGAGTAAGTATCAAATTGGCTTTCCATCAATACACAAATAAAAATAGTAGTCAGTGCCATAGGTTGCTCATCATTATCATGTTACATATAAGAGCTTGTAATATGAGGTGTCTCTGTAATGCTCTTAAATGATTTTCACTTGTGAGTATTTCACATTTTGATTGAAAAATTATGTTTTTATTGTGAAAATATTGGCTCATAGCAAAAAACCCAAGGGAACTGTTATAGTCATATACTGTAGTCTAAACTAATGCAGTCTAAACTGTAGTCTAAAAGAAATGTCCAGCTCTTTGGTGTTTTTTAAGCAATTGCTCTCAGTAGCTCTAATCAACCAGAAGCAGCTGCAAAAAACTCTGATATATCTTCTGAACACTTCCTGACCAACAAATGACAGAATTCAACACAACCTAGTTTTTATGCTGACATGTCAATAGCCAACTGGTTCATTTGCAATTCTGACTAAAGCATTCCGCTGGGACTGACAGGATCCAACACTATAAGATCCACAGGGGAAGAGGAAGAGGAGACAAAAAGAATACAATATTATTATATTGACCATTTTGCTGTTTTGGTATGCCATTTTTTGCACTTATTACTCTGTATTATTGAAATGCTTAGTTCCACTGCTCTATACTTCCAGCTTAAAAATATGACAACCAAGATAACAAGACAATGTTCCAGGAAGGACCACTAGGATGAGTATTCTGTGTTTTATTACAGAGCGTTGTGTGTCAGCCATGAAGAGCATACAACAGAGACACCTTTGCTTGACCCTGGGTAAGGCTGAAATTTCCAAAATTATATTCTTTGAAAAAAGCTTTACAGAATGGTATAGACACTTAGAAATAGAAATATTCTGCAGAAAGTTCATTTATATAAACAAATACAACATTAAATAAAATGTATTGCTTTATTCTCTCCAATAGTTTGTTTCTTCTTGATTTCTTCTTTGCCTGCTGCAGGTAAATCAACTTTTCTTTGTGACGCAACCCCGTTATTTGCATTCCCTGGTGAAATATAATATTGTAGGTTTTGTCGGGGGTGATGTGTATTGATGTGTCATTTTTTTCTGTTTAATCAACTGTTTTTCTGATCAGTGTTTTCCACAAAAAACAAACACATTTGTATTATTATTCAAATATGAGAAGAAATTGTATTACATTATTATTATTATTTTTAAATGGAATAACAGGAATATCTCTGTGCTTAACTTTGCCTGTAAACACACGAAATATTGTACATTCGGTCTAATTTACCTTAAAGGTGGGCAGATCAGATTATTTGGGCCTTCTTCTACCCACGGCTCTGAAAGGTTGAAGTCTATCAGAGAAGTGACTATATATATGTTGATATCTGTTACTTAAACGTTGCTGAGGTGATGTGAAAACTTGGTTTTCTAAGGTCAGCACAGGACTCCAGACACTATTGGGACTCTTGTGTTTCCTCAGTTGAGAAAAGTAAAAGTAAAAAAAAAAATAATAATACTAGGAAAATAATGTATCCTTTTTTGTCACTCAACAAACCTATTTGTATTGATTTGGAAGCTTGTAGAATCATTTCACATGTAAAACTGGTAATAACAAAAATGCAGCATGCTTTATCAAATGAAGAGCAGAATAATACGAGGGAAATGTTGATAAATATTTTGTTATTTATTCATGAATTTTTGCCACGTGTCTTTAAAAAGACGATATAATAAAACAGATACAATCTTAGAGAAAACAATTGCAGCAATGATTTGTTTCCCTCTGTGTTGAATTCCTAGGTTCTTCAATCAGATTAACTGGGTCTGGGTCTACTCATTGCTCTGGAAGAGTTGAAATCTTGCACAGTGGTTATTGGGGAACAGTGTGTGATGATAAGTGGGATTTAAGTGAAGCTGATGTGGTGTGCAGACAGCTGAACTGTGGGACAGCACTGAGTGCTCCCCATGAGGCCTTTTTTGGTGAAGGAACTGGTCAAATTTTGCTTGATGAGGTGGACTGTTCAGGAAGGGAAACTTCTCTTATCGAGTGTCTGGCCAGAGAAATGGGAAGACACGACTGTAATCACAATGAGGACGCTGGTGTGATCTGTTCTGGTGAGTTTTCAATCTCTTGTCTGATTTATGTTGTAATAAAAGTTATCATAATTACAGGATTATCATCGGAGAAAAGAAATAACTAAAAGACCTCAACAGGTTTTGTTGTGGATGTATGTTGTGTATTAACCAAGACAATTGCATGTCAACAGAACTTGATTGACACCACAGGATTTACAGCAGTTTAGAGCTATCAATACATAAATAAAATAAATCTATTTGAAATGATTAACTACCTTTTTTTGAACACAAAGCAGCAAAAGCCTCAACTTTGATTTTAGTTTTCTCATTTACTTTGTTGAAACAACCTCACGCTTTTGTGTCCTTTATTATCTATTACATTTGTTTTGATTCTCTCCTCTGACATTACACAACCTGATACCTTTTGGCAGTCGGAGCTAGGAGTTGTTGAATGTCGATAAAGCTAATCTACAATTTTGATAATAATTAACTATCCACCAACACATTTTCTTCTCACAAAGCTGGTGGAAAAAAAATCTCATTTGGCATTTAACTGAAATGCAAGACTGCCCGTCCATGCCTGCATGACCACTAAGACGAATCCAGCCTTTAACATACTGTACAATGTCTAGTTAAACATTTAAAGCGTTATTGCATTTTAAATAAATATATCCAATATAGAGAGGGTTGAGTATACAAAACAAGTCATGTAAGCAGATGATCATTTCATAGTTAGCGTTCCCATATTTTATCAATGATTCTTCATATGTCTTACCATATGCATAATGAGATCTGAAAAACAAAGGCTGATAACTGTCAGATATCACTGAGTATTGTATCACAATGTAAGTATTGTATTATTTATTTCAGAAAGCCTCACAAAGCCAACCATCTCCATGAATCCTGTTGGGGAGCTAAACTTGGATCAGAGTGTCAACATCACTTGTTCAATCTCGACTCGGATTTATGATGGAACGTTTTACTTGAGGAAGATCCCAGGTCATTCCAAAATGACCGAACGGCCAAATACAAATTCTGTCACCTTCAATATCCATAGAATGAGCTTCGATGATGAGGGATTGTACGCGTGTCAGTTCAAGAAAAGTGTCTCTGGTCAAGTCTTGACTGGGTAAGTTAAACAAATATTGATCATTTTAAAATATAACACAAAAGTCAACATGGTCATTCTGTATTGATGGTTTAAAAAGGTTAAAATTGATATGATAGTGTCTAAACTTTCTTTAAAACATGTTTTTGTCTTTGCAGTAGAACACTATGTGATAAAGATTAATAGTTATTAGAGCACCTCCCAAAAGAGCTTCACATCTTAAAGTATTTGAGGAAGCATAATGCATAATGAGGAAGTATAAACAAGAAGTATCAAG